CATCCCGGTCTCTCTGCAAAGAACGTCACCATAGTTAATGGGAACCAAATTTTATACATAATTCCTTCAAAAACCCTCATCACTCCTCTTAAAAGAGATAAGTACAGTTGTGTAAGATTTGAGGTTTTCACAGCGGTGAGTATGAAGCTTTCTGTCTTCTGGGTTGTTGCGCTGTGTAAGTCTGGTCGATGTTTACCAACGTTTCAGAGGTCATACTGCCTCCGTCATCAGGGCGATGAATCGCCCTGATGACAGCGCAAGAACCCAGAAGACAGAAAGCTTCATACTCACCGCTGTGAAAACCTCAAATCTTACACAACTGTACTTATCTCTTTTAAGAGGAGTGATGAGGGTTTTTGAAGGAATTATGTATAAAATTTGGTTCCCATTAACTATGGTGACGTTCTTTGCAATTATTTACAAGGAAGTACAAAGTGACGAAGAAGGATATTCGGGACGAAATTAGAGAAAATAACAGGAGAAACACAATGAAATCTCCACATTTCTGTTTTTCACATTATACACAGTTAATAGTAAATTCCCGTCAAGATCGACGGGAACTTCTGAAGTAGCAAACACACATATTCACATAAATTTTGTCCCGCAAGGTTCAAATTACCTTAACACCAAATTACTACCAAGTAATCAACCAAACAGGACAGATAAATATAGAAAAGAATTGGACGCGTAGAAAGCATTGAAGCAATTAAGTACACGAAGATTCATAATATTCTGAAATAACAATGACTGATTAAATCTTGGGTTATTTAACGACGATATTTAATTGCACATCGATAGTGGTCTGTTTTAAAGAATTTTTTCCAGCAGCTAGCAACGTAACGACTTGCCTACAGAGTGGGCCAATGAACCCTGAAACATATGCACCTCCACGACTGGGATTAGCGCATCAGTTAAATATTATGCGCAGAACCGGCTCTTTGTTATCGCACTTCCCGCGCCGTGTTCAGGATCATGTACAGTAACATCCAACACAAGAAGAAACCGCTCGATCGACTGGTTCGTTTACCCGCCTCTTTCAATTAATTTGCAGAGCATAAAAAGCGCTATTGTTCTTTCCACATCTGACATGTTGGTATGACATGGTGATGAAAATACCAAGACGGCAACGTAACATAAGTTCGAAGTTTCATAAAAATCGGTCACAACACATTTCAGTAACAGGAAATTATGTGTCTAATGATTTATGGATAAAGACTAACTCGCCCTGATGACGGAGGTAGTATGACCTCTGAAACGTTGGTTAACATCGACCAGACTACACAGCGCAATAACCCAGAAGACAGAAATCTTCATATTCACCGCTGTGAGAACCTCAAGTCTTACAAGACTAACAAACTTTAGAAATGAAGAAATTAACACCAAATTAAATTTGGGAGACGTTAACTAAGGATCAGTTCAAAATAATTGTTGTCCTCCTCCTATATCTCGAAATTCGCGAAAATTAAAATAAAAGTATTGTGGTTTTACATCTTGTTTTACATGGGTATGAATCTTGGTTTATTGCCAGGATGGAGGAACAGAGTTGAGTGTGTCACGGTGTCCTGAGGAAAATATTTGAATCGAAGAATGAGCAAGAGAATGGAGAGAACTACATCATGAGGACCTTCGTAATTTAAAGTCTTAGGGCGATCAATCAAGGAGGACGAGATGAGATTCATATTTATCTTGCATTGGGGAGATGATAAATGCACACACAGTTTCGGCCGTAAGATCCGACATGCAGAATAATCTTGGAAAACAAAAGCCTAGATAAAAGTGCAACATTGAAATGAATCTTGACGAAACAACGTAAGAGGGTGACCTGAATTCATGCGATTTAGGGTAGGAAGGACCAATTCCGGGCCCTTATGAACACGGTAATGAAACGTTTGGCTTAATAGAGGGAGTTATTTCTCGACCAGGTACGTGATTATCAACTTCTAGAGACGAATTCTGCTCTGTGGAGTTTGTTAATTAGTAGGCGGAAGACAGACAAGCAGCTCACTGAATAATCCTTCGTAACCTTAACAAAACCCATTGAAAGACAGATAAAACAAAGTGATAAAGTCATAAATAATAAAGCATGTCCTGTACTTACTGTGTTAATAAAAACAAAACATTTCAAATTCCATCACGACTCCTTGCTTCATTGTGCTTGGGAGTGAAATGATGTTCACGAGGTAGCAAATTGGGCATCATTAGAGCGGACATAATTTTTGTCAGAAAGTTGAATTTAAACTCTGAAATACCTTGAAACAAGCAACATGCAGAAAACTCAAAAAGTTTTAATTACATAAAAACAGAGACGCTTGTTAACAAGCCGAGCTCCAGTTTTATTTCAGGTTCAGAGCTTTGTTGCAGCTCATCAATGGTGGGTAGGTTACGATGCTGATTCAGCCTAATTTCCTCGAAGCACGTCTTATTTCAAGATCTAGTAGGTCTACGGAGTTGATACAGTAACTCAACTCAGTAAGTGGAAAAGTGTAATCAGAAATATATAAATAATGATTAAACAAAGAAAGAACAGGTTTAACACACGGAGACAAAAATATAGAAAAAGAGTAAACACATTAAGAAAGAACGGAGCTCTGTTAAGCCTTGACCACTTTGGCTAATTGACTCATTTTGTGACCCGATAGAAACTCCTTTCAGAGCGTGAAGCTTTATGACTCTCGAAGATAAGATTCTACTCTTTAATATGAAAGGCAAATTGCAGTGTCGCCGTTCACTTCTTTTTGTTGCGAAGACATAAGGATATCCGTGAGAGGGCGTGGACACAACGAATGCATCCAGAGAGAGGTGAAAGTAGCAACGGGCGATAATGACGACGGGCTATAAAACAGAGCGAAGTGTTCCAGCCAGCATCCACTCGTCTCCAGCTCATCAGCTCATCAGCACAATGACGTACTCCGTAAGTAGCAAGTTACACTGTAAGACTGAGTGAGATTCACAGACAATCGTTTACATGACTGGCAAAGAAAGACACAGCTGTTAGACGCAATAAGGAGGTTTGTCTAGAAATACATAGAATACTAAGAAAATGTTCGGACCTTGCTAACAGAATGAACGGCATTATCGTACAATGGAGATAGCTAACAAATTAATCGAACACGTTGTAAAATCCACGTACTTGGCCCCTACATCAAATTTGCATTCATGAAGAAATTAAAAGGACGGTAAATTCGAGGAAAGCTTAATACCATTCAATTCAGAATTTAAAAAAAATATCACCTATTGTTTTGGTTTTTCAACACACCCCTCCCTCAAAGAAGGAATATACAGTGTGCTTCAGGAGTAAGGGTTGAGGGAAATATTTGACCGGTACAAAACAGAAAAAAATTGTAAGATATTGAAAACAGCAAGATATAAAGCTTAATAATATGTTGGATAATATTCAATTAACACAACGTTTATCTAATGACGGAGAAAGAAAGGGGTGGAACAGTTAGCACGCACGGGGATAGAATAAATGCATATAAAATATTAATCAAAAACCCCGAAGGAAAAATATCGCATGAGAGACTTAATAGCAGACGGTAGGACAACATTAAGCTGATCTTAAAGAAATTGGATATGGCTACGTCATTTGGATTAACATTACTCTGAATATAATCCAGCTGCGGGATTTGTGAACATTTTAATACACCTTCAGATTCAATACGAGGACTCTGCTGTGCGGAGCCACTCTCTGATTTACTCTAAAGACAAAGTTTCTTCCTTTTTTCAAATACGGTCTGTGCTTATTCTGATATAGGACATGAAGCGTTATGTGACCTACGAAATAACTCGTGGCGCTACTGTGAAAAGCAGAATGCAAATAAATTAAATTCTACTTCAAACAAAAATATTAGGACGGTAGTAAATTTTGGTTAAAGAATTCCTAAAATTCATAAGGTATTTTTCCCGGACAACTATAAGTCCAATATGATTTCAGGTTCTCTCGACGGCGATTATGAAGATGTCTGTCTTGTGCGTTGTAGCACCGTGTAGTCTAATTTTTTGACGTTTTAGATTTACGTACTGCCTCCATCATCACGGTAATTAGCCATCTTTAAGTCAGCTTTAAATTGTGCAGCAAGCATAATCCACAATTTTTCCCGGCTCGTTAGAAAACAATTTATTTCTACAAATGTTTCTCGGAGTCGCTCAATACCTGGAATAATTCCTTAGGATTCTTAACCTTTTCCACGCCACGCTCGAGAAATCTAGCCTAGAAACGCTCGTCATTCTGGTCTGCATTAATTGCTATTTGAGGTCAGTGAGCGGAACGTGTGCTGCCATCTCTAAGCAGTTATTACTATACAATGACGACGTACAACTACCGTCTATAAAATATTCATGCACTGGGCAGGATTCTATCCCCTGACCCAAGCACTGACGGCCACTGGGACAAGCAATAACTCAACTCTGAACTACATTACAGGCACTCCTTGTCCTCGCCATCATGGCTGCGTCTGCATTCGCTCAACCAATCGAGTATCAACACCTGATTCAGAAGCGCGGAATCAGCGGCTATGGAAGTGGCGAGTGGGCAAGTGCGGGTGGCGACGATGGTGGCTATGGGGGTCACGAGGAGCAGGAAGTGAAGGTTATCAAGATCCCGGTGCCCAAAGCAGTGCCCGTTCCAGTACAGCACCCCGTTCCAATCCCAGTGCCACAACCCTACCCGATACATATCAGGGTAAGCTTTAAGCCGAAGCTGGAGAGTGGGAGAGACACATGTACAAGTAGGATTTGAGGTTTCCACGGTGGTAAATCCGAAGATGGCTGTCTTCTAGGTTTCAGAGGTTCTAGCTGCCTCCATCATTGTTGATGAGAGTCTCACTGCCCTGATGATGGCGGCAGCAAGGACCTCTGAAGACAGCCATCACCTTATAGTCACAAGGTTCCCAGGCAATGCCCGCTCGTCTTGTTAGTAAGGATTAAAGTAGGAGAGAACATTCGGGTGATTAATGTCAGCTTGATAACTGAGACTGCTGAACTTTGATTTGCTTTTCAGCGAATGCTGAAGCTATAATTTGACAATTTATGTAAGTAATTGAATGGCCTCCACACTAAAGAGATACATTTCGACGAATTTAAATCGGGAGGACAGCATGAGATGTATGCAATAGCAGCTTGAACTTGTGAACCATCTCAACATTTTTTGAAAAACAGAAGCTTATCTAAACAATAAATTTAGTACGTACGACAAAGAAAACAACACTTTAATTTATTAATGATGTTTAAGGAAGTCAGCTATTTGCACTGAGAATCACACCAAACACATAATAAGGATTAATAACACAAAGACCAGGTAAGATTTCAGGTTCTAACGTCGGCCAGTATGAAGATGATTGTCAACTTGGATGTTGCGCCGTGTAGTTTGGTAGATGTAGAAAGTATGAACCTCTGAAACGTCGATTAATTTGTACCAGACTGCACGACGTAACATACCAGAAGACACTTAACTTCATTATAAATTGAAGTTTTACGGCGTCTAAGGTCTTTCACTGTTTTGTTCTTAACCTTGGAGTTCAGTTACCAGTTTCACGTTCCGGCAGTATTGCCTACACGTAGAATACTGAGATAAACTACATAATTTAAATGCCTGACAGCAGAATAAAAGACTGTGTATTTAACAACGAACAGACGAAATGGAACGGTAACAGAGTATAAAGCGTAGTAATTAGAAGGCAACTTAAAGCGTTCATCTGTTTTTCTGTTTTTCAGGAAGCATTAAGAGGACATTAATCACCACTAATGCTTACACGTATTGCTTCAGGGTGAAGGAAATAAATGTTTTCAGAAGCAGAAAAACAACGATCTGAATTCCCCGTTGTAGGAAATATTTAATTTTTTCCGTTCTGACAATTGATTACCCTGCAACGGAATGTAAGTAGTGGGCATGCGCGGGAGACATGAATTATTAAAATTCCAGAAATATTGAATTCTCAACACGCAGCATAATTATTTCCTGACAGATTCATTCATTTTCATGGAAATGTGAACACCAGGTCCAAACTCGCAGAGTGAGATAAAAAATGAAAGAGATTAAGTGGAGACGTACATGGCCGATCGGTTTCTCGCATGAGTATTATCGAGGGCTCAATTGCCTGGGTGTCTAATGGGAAATAAGTCTCGTAATTTCTATTGCGATGTCGATCTGAATAATATTTTAAAACATTCGATTCCTACCTCTTAAAAGCACTCCACATTCGTTTTAAAACATTAAGCTGTTAATGTGGGATTTGAGGTTTTCGCAGATATAAAAGTACAGATCGCTGTTGTGCAGCGTAAAATTTCGGCTGTGCATCAGCACTTTGGAGGAACGTACTGTCTCCATCATCAGTGATGTTTTCCTCAGAATAGGCAACAAGCGCTTTCTTCAGTTTCATCAATCACGATCACCCTACCGATATTCATCCGACGTTTCGAAACTTGTATCGTTGACAAAACATTTTAAACAATATAGGATTTGAGACTTTCGCGGCGATTACAATCAATAAAATCTTCTCGGGCAATCAGCCGCGTCAACTGGTTACCGTAGTAAACCGACGTTTCGGGAACCAACTCTGTCCCCATCATCAGGGTTCTGATGTGACTGGATACCTCCGAAGTCGCCTGTATATAACCCAACTAGAATCGGACTGCTTTCACTGGGGATAAAACAATCGGGTAGTGAAGATGACCTCTCGGCTTCACCTAGTGCCCAGGTAAAGAACACGGGGTGCTTATAACAAGTGGAAACTTTACCTGTACTGCTCTGAATAAACAGGTGGCTGAACGAGTGGAAGTTCCCGTGTACAAGACTGTGCAAGTTCCAGTGGAGAAACCAGTTCCTGTCAAAGTGGAAAAGGCTGTGCCCTACCCTGTGGAGAAGCCAGTGCCTGTGTACATCGAGAAACACATCCCGGTGCCTGTACCAAAGCCCTACCCCGTCAAAGTGCCCGTCATCAAATACGTGCACCACTACCTGTCCAAGGGCCACCACCATTAGAACCTGACCTCGCTCGGTGGATACAACCAGTCTGACTCCACCCAGGAGGTAATAAATAGTTTTAAAATTATTGGCAAAAACAGACTCTCCTTGATTTACAGACACAATATTCTCTAGTAAGTACAATGATTTTCTTGTACATTCCATCTTACTACAGACACTTCAACATTAAGTAGCAGATTACAAAATGAAGATGTGTACAGAAGCTACTGGCTTATATGACGAAGTGACTTTAGTATCAGAACTCATGGAAATTTCCTACTTATTCACCAACGCACAGGCGATTAGGAATGCAGATGAAGTACCATGACGCGTACAGAACACAAAGATTCGTACAGTCTCGGTAGGAAAACCTCAAGACAAAATGGGCTTACAATTTAGCACCACTACATATCTGCATATTATAATAATTTGTAACGTAATAACTGGGCATTCTATCTTACAAATTTTTAGAATTTAAATGTAAACAAATGTGACAGTGTTTTTATGAAAGAAGCAAGTTACTGAATTGGATACTGCAGGGCAAGAACTTCGATACTTTTAACACGTGAGCAGAGTGTTGAAAGTCCCTAGTAAAATATCTCATCAGTAAGAAATTTAAACAGAAAGATTATTAACAATAAAAAGAACACTCAATAACGCAGCAATTTTGTACCACTGAATCGTATCGTAATGAGTATTGTTTCTCCAGCAGAATCTTTGTCTATCTCATGGCTGTATCCACAGAGCCTTATGCATGTTAATACAGTCCCATGTAACTTACAGACAATTTCCATAACAAAACGTATTTAAAATATCACACTGTTTCAGAGAAAGTACATTCAAGCTCTAAGTGGTGGGAGTACCCGCGGAAAATCAGGTGCCTTTCAGAGAAGACTTTCTATCCAGTGGAGAAGCTACATTCTTTAATCTTCTCATTCCTAAATTTATAGTTCACCGCCCCAACTGATCAGAGTTCTTTCTAAATCTCACTTCAAGTCAAGTCTGTATTTAAATATATGATGAAAATTCTTCCTTTCTCTCAAATGTGACCAATTTAAGTACGCCTTAACTCGCCCATCCCCGTTATTTAGTAAATTTCTCACATATCTATTTTACACGAAACCAAAGAGCATACTTGGCACTGTTTTGTACAAATGTACTTATTGAAATGTTTTTCTACAACACTGCTTCAGGATATCAGACGTTAAATTAAATGCAAATACTTTCCTGTTCGATACGGCAGCCTGAGCTGAAATTTGTCGTGTTCTCAAAATGTTCATTATGTGGCCAAACAGCCGAACTGTTACACGTGTGTCATTAGAGAATCGGGTTCATATATCTGCCTTTGTGTAAGCACGCAATGGACCGCCATTGTGAACGACACTCTATAGTTACAGATTAGCTCCATCGTTCTGTATGCAACAGCAAATGGAGTGAACATTTACCGAACTGAAAATCCTCTTCATTGTTTACTGCCTCTGCGTGGTGCACACAACAATTGAAATACAAAGCCTCTTTACAACTTTTTTTACAGTTTCTTATGGCTATATTATGAAGTTTTCCACAAGAGCGTAGCACAGTACAACGCTATTCCACACTGTTCCATGTTTCAGACCTCAGATACCGACTGAATAAGCAGTGACGTCACGAACCGCTGCTTCACCATTTACCATCACTTCGTCTACGTCATCATCTCGTTTCACTTTTATCACCGTTCTGCGTTACTATTGAAGTCATATTGTTGAGTGTTATATAATGTTTATATACATTTTTGTAATAAAAACCTTTACAAATCATAATACTTTTCGATATTTCTTGTTTCATTCGCCAATTGTCCCGGTACTGATACTGGAATTGCACGATGTGACGTCACAAAAATTCCTCTACCTTGTACTCCTAGACCAGCCATATATCGGCTGAAGACCAAACCTCTAGACCAACGTTTCTCAACCTATGATAGGCGTACAACTGGTAGCACGCGAACTAAATAAGAAAATAAAAAGTTAATATTAACATAAATATCAGTTTTCCTTAAAGGCATTTGGTTAGTGGCAAATTTAATGTGTTAAATTAGAATTAGTGGTACGCCAGCTAAAAAGATTGATAACCCCTGCTCTAGACTAAAGCGCTGCTTCTTGGCCACGGATACCGCAAGCTCGTGGGGCGGCGTCAGATAAGTAAGGGACAACGGTACACAAATGAAGTATTCACTGTGCGCATAACTTTTTTGATATCTAATTTATGGCAGCACAAATTGTAAATCAAAACTGCAAATTGTCTTCCACTTACAATAAATTAACATGTCCATTTAATTTGAGTTAATCATTTTTACGAGAAATTTGAAACAACTGCAATCCGCGTGACTTCTCAAAGTCTGTCTGTTACTTCCTGGATGTCCGACTTTGGCTCCATCTTTCAGGAATTCCTCTTAATTCTCTAAACAATCTGCTGCTACTTTAACAATGCAAAAATGTTGGCTGCATGATTATTCTCTTGTTGTCTCTTTTCTTTCATATACGAACTTGTTCTTGAACAAAATTTTTTCACTTACAAATGGTAGCGAAGAATGATTTTATGAAAGTTTATGAACTTCAATAATAATAATTGTGTTACTAATAACACTTGTGATAAAATCTATTAATATTGTTTTGAATTTTTTTTAATATGTGACCAGCATATACCAAAATTAAATTCACCTCACAGACTTCAGAATGGGTTTCCGATTACGAAATTTAATAGAAATCTGTTGAGTATATTTAGACATGAAGCATGATGGCGGACATACGACACACGACCTACCAAAACGTAATAAGGTGCTGTGATTTTACCCATTAAATTAAACAAGAAATACAGTGAGGATATCTAACGGCTGGGCCACAAGAACCAGAAAACAGGGAAACCATCGTTGTGACCGCTCATAGCAGAAGAGCCGTGAAGCCAGCATACCCACAAAAGCGATTAAATAGATTAATACAAGTCTGGATATGCAAGCTCATTAGTATGAATGCTTTTCCTACATTCCAATCAGATAAACGCAATGGCAGTGCCGAATTCTAAAATAGCCAACTTCATACGTGTACATACCCACTTCTACAAGGATGGAATGGAGCTTCGAATACTGTAATTATCAGATGTTACTGGAATATATGGCATTGCACCACCGGGTAATTATGTGCCACTAGGAAGCATAACTTCGAATGGGAAGATGGCGACAATGTTACAACTAATCATACTAGTAACAATAAACCGCCAACTATGTTTCTGTGTTAAGTAACACGACAGACGCTGCGTACACTCCGTTTGTGCACAAAACAGAAGCACGTCTTTATCAAACCTGCATTTTAACAAAAGTTTCTCAGCCCTTAGCCCGTCGATTTATTTCATCCACAGTTCTGTAATATTTTAACAGTCTGTAATAATCCAACCAGTTTAACCCCTGAATTAAAAGTTAGTTTCTCTTTTAAAAAACTGCCTTTGAGTAGAATTGAATTTTGTCAGAGGCGAGTGTAAATATCGCTGCATTCTGGATTACAGCACTGTATAGCCTGGTACTTGCTGCCTCAATCGTCAGTGTGATATCACTCTTCGCCCTTGTTATGGAGGCAGCAAGTATATCCGAAACGTCGGTAAACCTCTACTAGACTACAGAGCTACAACTGAGGAGACAACCATCTTTAAACCTCCACGAAGTTTAAAAAAATTGTCATTTATAAATCGGCGGCCGGCGAGAGGATAAGAAAAAATAATGGAGGGACAGTTCTCTAAGAGGATAGATTACTCGTTGGCTAACACGTCACGTACCAAAAAGAAGCAAAGTAAAAGATGTGACTATAATAAAATCATGCCACGGTGGCTAGTCTGTAAAGTTATTTGAACACGTTATATCAAGTACGGAGGTTATGATAGCGTTGAATGGGATGAAACTATGATTATATATGTCCTCGGACGCATTAGGTCTGTAATGTGAATAGACAACAAACATGGGCCAAGAGCAGATTAAAATGATACTGTTTTGCCAGAGTGGCGCAGCGCATTTGCATGTTAACTGCCGTATCCATAAATGGCAAGTTTAACCTCCGGCAAATGAACCCCATAAAGCACGTGTGTGTGTGTGTGTGTGACATCTGCGATGAAGTGCACACAAAGGAACACTCAGATGTACCTTCTGCTCTGTATTAAGGTAGGCAGGCGTAGGGGAACAACAAGTGTTATAATTAAATTAATATACTTTAGGTGAAAGTTTCATGACGTATTAAAATACAATTCCGACAAAGTTATGTTGTTACACTTGTCACCTAAAAAGTCTAGCAGCGCGATGTGTACTTTCCGGACGACCGGGTTTGATTCTGAAATACTCTTGCCACCACATTCAGGCACCCTGTGCATTTCGGGAGTATGGAGGTCGTTTCTTTCACTTCGCAAAACGCTTTTAATCCTTTGAAGCCGATTCTCGACTGAATAGTATTTTACACTTCGGACCATACCGCGAAGAAAACACGCGTCACCATTGTGAACTATCATTTGCTCGCCGAGTGTTCCACAGTTCTGTTGATGGATGATGTAGTCATCAATATTAGACACACTGGCTGACCAATTTATGTAAAACCTGGTTTGCACGCATACCAAGTTTTACAAACATTGATCAGTCCACTGTAAACATTACAAATGCGCGGAGATAAGCCTCCATTCGTCAATACGTCTTCATAGCCTTGTGCTTAATTACAAGGGACAACTACATCTTTTACTATTGTTTCTGTTTAGAATTGTCTTTGAAATTTTACAGCTGTTACAAGTTTCAACTGAAGATGCATTACGACCAGCAGAATTTCGGAATGAGTTTTAACATCTGCCTGTCATTAACTACAATATTTACACTGTTTTGGGATTGGCACAGCGAGTCAGAAACCATTTATAGTCCCGGAAAAGGCGGATGCAGCTCACAACACTTCGGACAGCAACTGCAACCGACACCACTCATCGTATTAACACGACGTCAAAGGCCCGATTACCATTAGAGTCCTGCTTATTTATCCTCGTTCTATTTCAGTCTGATAAGGGAGGATACACATCACTATACGCATAATATTAGTGACTTTCACTAATAATTTCACATTTCGCGAAGACTCTACATCGTACATTCATGGTTAAGAATACAAAAATTATTAATCTTCATAAAAGATAAGCAGTCAGTAATTAATTTATAAAGGCAGAGCCCATCTGATACCTCAGCATAAGAATCCTACCACTTGTATTAATAAATGTTTAAGACACCATCTACGGCATAAGTGACCAAGGCTCGAACCAGACTGTAGCATCAAGTAGAAACTGCTGAACTGATGGTAGAGGCTTTGCGATAGTCTGATCCCCTATCCAAGGAGTCCTAACGCTTGTCTTAATAAGGATTTAGAAACCCTCTACAGTAGAAGAGACCAAAACTTCAATCGGGCTGTTTCAAGTATAAAGAGGAGAAGAATATGCTTAAATGGCAGCTGATAAACCCCTCCTTTCGTGGATTAGGCACTACTTTTAAGAAAGTCTCAAACACGCGGCAAAAGAACAAACAGATATAGCCTATCTCTAGCGCACGAGAAAAGTCAAGAGCTCAGAAATAGCCTCCTATCGTAGTGGAGAAACACGAAGAATACAAAAGACTGGGAGTAAACAGACAGCAAAGAAGATAGCGCTATAGCTGGAAACAAAAAGTTACTCTAGCTATTCTATAGCGCGCAATAAGAAACAGAACTAACAGGCAACTACGTCAGTTTTCTTTCTAGTCATATGTAATAACGGACCAGAGTGCCTGCGAAACTGTTTCAGATTACATTTCTCGTTCCCATGGCAACAGCTAGTATAAAACATTAAGGAACCCCCTTCCTGGCAACGGTAAAATAACGCTGTTGGCTGAGATATGTAACTGCAACTAAGTTATTACGTATAAAATAAATGCATAATGGGAACTGTGTCGTGTTTGTCTGCATCTACGTATCTCTAAGAGGACTCCGAAGAAAAGTAGTCGAGACAATTTAATCTTGGTTCGTACTTGTCCAACACAATCCGTGGTTTACACGAAGATGAAATAGAACTCGACAGATTTAATCATAAAAGGCTCATCGTAAGGAAATCATGTGTGGATTAAGATAAATAATTACGCTGAACATTTACGAAATTACAGCGAAATACTCGCAATGTAGTGCGTTTATTACTTTTGTAATTAGTTCAAGTGCGGCGTTAAGGAAAGAAAATAACACGGGCTCTTAAAACCAAGGATAATATTAAAGTGAACGGTGTGTAGATGTGATCAGGATTCAAATGATTTAGGATACGTTTCAAATTGGGGGGGGGGGGCTGTCAACACGATAAAAGAAGTGAAATTTTAGGTCCTCACGGTGGAGAGTATGAAGATGGCTGACTTCTGGGTTGGGAAGTTTATCATCGTTTCAGAAACGTTGGTAAATATCTTCCGGACTACATAAAACAACGACCCAGAAAATTCAAATTCCATAAAAGGAAGATTCTATAGGAAAAGCAGTTGAGAGACCTGGCTCTGGGAGTCAAACCAGTGATCTGGAGTTAACCAGTTGCCAGCCAGTTTCACAGCGATTGATTAACTTGCAATTAAATTGCCATTAAAATGGGTTTCATTACAAATAAGCCGAACTATAAAAATGCAACATGTATGGTTTTAATGAGTGCTAATTAGCTGGCGTCCATTTTACCATTATTAAAGTTCATGTGTATGGAAACGAAACTGGAAACAAGCACTCGATGCGTATGGATTTCGTTATTCACATTACATCATACCAGTGTTCCG